AAGCTCCGGGGTGGGGGCAAAGAAACCGGGTTCTGTGATCTCGCATGTCCTCGAGCCCTTCCAGGCTGCGCACGAAGGGCCGGGCGGGGGCGGGGGCTCCCCAGGGCCTCGGCCCCAGTTCCTTTAACAGCCTCTCGGTCTCTCCCCTCTCTCCCCTCCCGCACCCGGGCGTGGCCGCTCCCCTCCCGCGCTCCCCAAACCCTCGCTTCTCCTCCCGCCCCTCCCCAGCCCCCGAAGAGCCGGAGCCGGCGGCAGAGCGAGGTAACCGCGGCTGCTTCGCTTCCCGAGACCGATTTCGGGGGCCCCGACGGACCCCCGATGTCATCGGGCCCCGATCTCCCAGATCTTCCCCCACCCCTGCCTCGTAACCCACCCCCAGGCCCGGTCCTTTAAGCCCCGGAGAGCCCCGCGCCCTCTCGTGGTCGCGAAGGGAAATCGCCTGGCAGTGGCTTTAACCCTTTCCCTTCCTTCTTAAAGGGACCGACACCCAAGCCTTCTTCCCCAGCCTGGAGGAATACTTATAGAAGGGTTGGATGTTTGCGGAGAGCCACCACCCCGTCCTCCCCTCATCTTTGTCTGTTGTTTTTTCCCCTCATATACATTCAAAGGTTGGGGCCTGGAATTTAGGGTTGTAGAAGAGGCTAGAACCGGGAGTCTATGTCCCCCAGCAGGAGGGGTTGGGGACAGAACTCTGGGGTCTGTGAATGAAGAGAGAGAGGTTGGGCCCCCCTGTACTGCTGGGTCCCGATGGAGGAGGGCGGGAGCTTTGGATATATAAATGGGAAAAGGTCTGGGGGTTTGGCTTCCTGGGTTCCCAGAAAGCTGGGATGGGGGCTCCCACACCGGTTCTGAATGTATATCTGATGCGTGTGTCCCTCCTCCTTTACGGCCACCCTGTCTTCCCTTCCCCCTTTTCTTCTCCCCCTACCCCTCCCCCAAACTGGACTCTAGAGTCCTTCCCTGGACTCCTGGGGGCCGAGGCATGGGGGTTCCCTCCCCAGGGTTTGTCAGGCCTAGCCACACCCCCAAACTCTTGCTAATTATGTCTTTGTGTCCCCCACCACCAACAGAAGAGGAGCGCCCTAAACCAAGGTGAGATCCTATGGGTATGGGGGGCTCCCAATCACGTCATCCTAGATATTCCCCCCCCCTCCAGAGACAGGGTGTGGGAAAGGCAGAGACGGAGGGGGGATGTTGAAATAAAGGAGACAGCGGTCAACCATTCCTTCCTTCGGAAAGCATTTCTGGGAACTTTCCACTGTGTTTAGCATGTCAACCCTGTCCACCGCCCTATTGGTGACACAGACCCAGACACAGTGATGCAAGACCGGGGTACCCAAGCGACACAGGCGGGGGCCCTGCGTTTGCCCTGGGCAATCAAAGAAGGCTCCCCAGGGGAGGGGATGCCTGAGTCCTGGGTGACAAAGGCTTTGCTACCTGAAGGGGGTATTAGGGACATGGTAGGCTGAGAAAGCTGTGTGGTGTGTGCTAAGTCCAGTGGCTGGATACAGACCAGTCCAGGGAAC